TTTAGAAGGTCCCAATCATCTGGTTTCTCTTCTGCTGTTTGTGCATTTTGAATTATGCTTGGTAGTCTATTTATGCCATGTACTAGGGCCCTTAAATTTGACCGTAAATTTTCCTTGATGAACTGTGTATTTGTAGGTTTCACATTTAAGTCTTTGATCCACCTGGAGTTTGTTTTTGTGTGTGGTGTGAGGTACAGATCTTGTTTTATTTTTCTGCAAATGGATTTCCAGTTTTGCCAGCACCATTTATTAAACAAACATTCTCTTCCCCATTTAATGAATTTTGGTAATTGTTTTTTTTAGTATAAATTAAAATATAACCTGAAAAAAATTTCAGAACTGTGACTTAGGCTAGGATACAGATAATATAAGGTGCTAGCTTATTGCTTTGTAAATATTACTTTTCAACTAAACAAGGTAAGGGTTCAATACATAAATTATTGCAGAAATCATAAAAAATTTGTTACTTTAAAAAGTTGTGTGAAATACTATGAGATCCTCATCCTATGTGACTATGAGACCAGAAGAACTAGATGGTGCCCATCTACCACTGTCAACCACTCAGAGGGGGGTCTATGTAGGAGATTCTGGATAGAGTGGGAGAAAAATGTAAACAAAACCCAAAATCATTTGGAAAAAAAGAACAGACCAGGTTTGCTGGTCTGATGGAGCCTGATGGAACTACTGAGACTATGGCCCCTAGCTGCCTTTCAGGTCTGGAATTGAATCCGCTCCTGTGGCTTCCAGCCAAACAAAAGACAGGCATATGAGCTGAACATTTACATTAGGTAGATATACTCCTTGGAAAGAAAAATCATGGAGAATAGAAGGGCTGTGTATGCACAGGGAGACAGCTCGAGGGACAGGAGTGCATGGGAGGGAAGGACACAGGGATGAAATAACTATGGGGAGGAAGTGGAAGGGGACCTGTTGCATTGTGGTAAATTGTAGTCAATGTCATGAGACAAAGTATGTGTGAGCTAGTGTATAGAAAGTGAATTTGCTCTGTAAACTTTAACCCAAATCACAATTGAAAAAAAAAAAAAAAGTGGGAAATAATTTGTATTCTAAAAATGTTTGTCTCTATTTTACTATATAATATTGGTCATATATAGGAAAACAATGTTATATAACACTAGCATTATTTAAGATACCCACCCACCCATTGCCATCTAGTCAATTCCAACTCATAGGGACCTCCATTGGTTTTCCAAGGCTGTAAATCTTTATGGAAGTAGATTGCCACATCTTTTTCCCATGGAGTAGCTGGTGGGTTTGAACTGCCATCCTTCTGATTAACAGTCAAATGCCTTACATACTGTGCCATCAGAGCTCCTTATATAAAGATGTATGGTACTTTTTTGGTCTTAAAGGATGGTTAAAACCAAGGTTTGAAAAGACTGAAAATTTTGTCAATTTTTATTCATAAATAACATAAAAGTTTTGTTTTTTATAAAAAATAATTAATGTATCTATCTAATATACTAAGATCATTTTTCTTCTGTCTAATTGACATCATGAAGGAATACTTCTGGATTATTTTACAAGAAGAGTGCATAGAAGATCATTCTTTAATTTATTTTTAATCTCATCTACAGTGAAGGACAAGATGAAGCCAAAATAATATTCTAGGCAGAAAACATGTTAAATCAGTAACCCATTTTGTGCTTCTGAAGTTTAAGTTGTGGCATAGTTGTTTATTGCACTGTAATTTTTAAAATTGTCTAACCAAATCTTGAAAATTAATGTTGCTTCAGGGAAGGTTATTTGGTGGAAAATTAGCTCAATTAAGCAACTTGACTTCATAGACGAGATGATAGTACATAGAATATACCAACAATCCATCTCACTGACTTTGAGTCGATTCTGATTCAGTGACCCCCATTGGGCTTCCAAGGCTATCTATCTTTACAGAAGCAGACTGCTCCATCTTTCTTCTGTGGAGCAGCTGGTGGGTTTGAACCATTGACTTTTTGGTCAACAGGCAAATGCTTTAACCACTACACAACCAGAGCTCCTTACATAGAATATACTATGGTACTCAACTTACCCAAAAGTAACTTCTGTTGTCTTAGAAATATTTACATTTCTTGTTTAAATCTGAAATTGTGTTTTCTGAAGCCTGGAAACTTTTAAAATAAAATTTTATGAAATACAGTCTTTGACAGTTTTACGTTGCACACTTCATGTCAGAGGAAAATCAGTTTGCTCAGAGGGAATGATATAAAATTATTAATTCTTTTTCTTTCTTTCTCCTCCAGAATACCAGTTATTAAACCACAAGTGGATAATTGGGAACTCTCAATAAAATTGGACAATGAAATTCATACAGTCACAGCATCAAACAGTGGGCCAACGTTCTCTGTGAGTTCTATTTCTTTTATTTTTTTAATGATATTGTAATTATGTGTGACTATTGGAAATTATTCTAACCTGTTCTGTGACTTTCATCTTTTAATCTAGCACAGAAATATATTTGTTTCCTCTTCTTTAGGAAGCTGAATATATAAGTGGAACCTTTTGTTCTCTTTGGCTTATTTGGAAATAAATTTCTAGATTTAGCCACATTGTAAACCTATTTCCTCATACCTGATTCCTTTTTCTTTTTGTGGTATTGATAAATTGTAATCATTTGCCTCTGTTATAAGGAACAGCATCTTTAATTTTAATTCAAAGGATTGATAGCTGTGGTAGATAACCATTTTTTTAGTACTCGTGCTGCCAAAGTGAGCACTAGACAACCATTCTTTTAAAGGGAGTAGTCTGAAGCCTTACAAAACATTATATTCAGATTTCATTTTGGGAGATATTCTTGAGATTAACTTTATCTTATGGTGACATCCTTTCTGTTGTTAAGAACTTAACCCCCTTGGCTAGTATCCATGACAGAACTGGTTTAGCTTGAACTCTGGTCTATAATAGGTGAACAATTTTACATTACAATTTCAAAATACTGTACTACAAATATGTTTAAAATCTGTTATTTGAAATTGCCAGAAAAATATCATAAATATTTGCTGCTTTTACTTGTGGGCATTTATATTTTCATCATGAACCTAAGGAAGCTATTAATATAATGAATATTTTATTAACCTATTGCCAAAGGGGCAAGGAGGTGGCATCTTCTGACCTTATCTAACAACACTGACATCTTCTGACCTTCTCTAACTACACTACACAAGAGGAGGACAGAATCACATCAGCAGACCAAAGCCTGTTCTTATGAGGCCAGACATGCTGCCATCCTCCAGCCCTCTTACTAACCTTGACACCAACCAGCCCTCCTGTGTCACCCATGACCTCTCTGCTGGGTTTGATAGTTTGCTGCAGTAGCCACACAGAACTCACAGATTACGGAGTTTATTAGAGAAGGAACAGGCTACAATTAAAGTTCAGGAACACACTCAGTCTCTCTCAGCCGGCCATCTCTCTCAGTCTCTCTCAGTAACATGTCTCTCTCTCTCAGCAGTGCATCTCTTGCATCTCTCTCTGTCAGCAGCACATCACTCTCAGCAGTGCATCTCTGTCAGCTGGCAGTCAGATTCCTTTTGCCTCTAGAAGGGCCCTTTTTGAGACTGGCAGAGTGGCCAAAACCAATCAACCCCAACATCAGAGTTCTACACACCTGAGAGAGTGTGAACTTTCTCAGAAGATTACTTCATGCTGCCCCACATGGATGACTTTAAGAAGCAGCTGCTCAGTTGCTCATGGCAAAGTGGAAGTTACAAAGACTATGGCTAGACAAGCCATACCATGTTATTTACTACACCGTACCTATGTTATTCATCTTTTGGCTAAGTTGCATTGGAGGGCCATTTTGTTTTGGAAGAAAACAACATTTTGTTAGAAGATTTAAACAGCCTATGAGTATAAAAATAATAAAATTTTACTAAATAGATGTAGTGAGCATGAGGTATATGACAGTTCCTTGATCTCAGTCAGAAAAGGCCAAAGTTAAGGATTTATGAAAATTCATTTATTCAACAAATACTTATTTCATGCCTGTAATATGCCAGTTAGTGCTAGGGTGTTGCACTGGTGAAGGTGGCATTCTTATGGGGCAATCAGAGTCACAAATGACATTAACTTATGAATCAAGTATAGACCCCTTTGTTGTTCTTTACATTTTGTGATTTATTCTGTATACCAAAATGGCTAATGCATTGGTTACTGAAAGATATTTCATTTAGATATCTTAGAATAAAAGCAATGATGGAATTAAAAATTGCCTAGTGATATTTTTATGATAAATTTATGTGATTGTTTATCTTATCTATGTGATCATTTAAAAATTTTGTGTAAGTGGACACTTAACTATTTGTCAAATTGAGTAGCAAATGATATGAATTGAACAGTAAAAAGTAATACTACTATAATGTAGCACTTGACTGTGGGGAGAATAGCTTTAAATCATCCACCAGGGGTATTTCTTTTGTGAGTGGCACAAAGCAATATTCTGGAAGTTCACTTTCTCACAGGTGCTTAGAATTCTGATGTTATGATTGGTTCATTTGGCCACTCTGCCAGGCTCAAAGGGGGCCCTTCTAGAGACAGAAGGAGTCTCTGACTGCTTGGCTGAGAAAGATGTGCTGCTGAGAGAAGTGTGCTCCTGAGAGACACGCACTGCTGAGGAGACACTGAGAGACACGCATTGCTGAGAGAGAGACACCAAGAGACACAGCTGGGAGAGAGACAAGAGAGACTGTTGGCTGAGAGACAGCATGCTGAGACAGACTGAGCGTTGTCTCTGAACTTGAATTGTAGCCTGGTGCTTCCTTAATAAACCCCATAATCTGTGAGTTCTGTGTGGCCACTGCAGTGAATTATCGAACCCAGCAGAAAGGTGGTGGGTGCTGGGGGAGGAATGGTTGGTGTCGGGGTTGATGAAAGGGCTGGTGGGAGGCAGCATGTTTGGCCTCACAGGAATAGGCCTTGGGCTATTGATGGTGATTCTGTCTTCTTCTTGTGGGGTTAGAGGAGGTCAGAAGATTTGGCCTCCTTGCCTCTTTGGCAGTACCGTAGTCTTCAGAGTGACAACTTCACTCTTTAACACTTTAAAAAGGTCTTTTTGCAGCAGATTTGCCCAGGGAAATACATTGTCTGATTTCTTGATTGCTGCTTCCATGTACATTGATTGTGGATCCAAGGAAAATTAAGTCACTGGCTACTTCAGCCTTTTCTCCATTTATGAATAGGTTGTATATTGGTCCACTTTACTTCAGTCTTTTCTCCATTTATGAATAGGTTGCTTATTGGTCCAGTTGTGAGGATTTTTGTTTTCTTTATGTTGAGGTGTAATCCATACTGCATACTGTAGTGTTTAATCCTCATCAGTAAATGCTACAAGTCATCTTCACTTTCAGCAAGCAAGGTTGTGTTGTCTGCATATCACAGATTATGAATGAGTCTTCCTCTAATCCTGATACCACATTTTTCATAGAGTCCAACTTCTTGGATTATTTGCTCAGCATACAGATTGTATAAGTATGGTGAAAGGATACAACCCTGATGAATACCTTTCCTGATTTTAAACCATGCACCATTTCCTTGTTCTGTTTGAATGACTGCCTCTTGGTCTGTCTTATAAATAGATGAGGGAAAACACTGGAATGTGGAGACCACAGTTTGTTGAAAAATCAGACAACTCTTTCTAAATCCATTATTGTTTTTTATACTTATTTAGCCCTATTTAAGTGTATTTTGATGAAACAACTGATTACTTTGATGTATGGTTACAGAATATTCCTCTGTACCTGGTACTGTGATTGTGCTAAGCATAGTACAAAGCAATTATTGCAAACTGAGGTTCAGAGAGACTAAGTAATATAAGCAAAGTCACACAGCTTGTAAATGTAGATTCTAAAATTAAACTCAGGTCAGTATGATTCCAAGGCCTATGATTTTAACTACTACGTCTCTATATATAACTTTACAAAGTAGTTTTGCTAAACAGCATTCTCAGAAATAGTACCATTATCTTGGAAAATTAGCTTTGTTAGACTATGAATAAATTATTAATACAAGAGAGAATAAATTTATTTCTAAACTAGAATAGTTTATCATAAGATAAAAGGAGTTTTCTTTCTGATATGCTGAAAGTTAAGGCTCAAACCATTCCATTTAAAGGGATCACGAAAGGTATCACAGGAAAATGAATATGCCACAAAAATATACATAGTATTGCTCCTCCCATTAGTGATACTGCTTAAGGGTAGCTATTTTTTAAAGCATTTTTAGTATCTTACGACCTCTTGTAGATGTTAGTGTATTTTTCATATTGTTGTTAAAATTCCAAATAGTGGTTTTTAGCAACAGTTTTTCAGATTTGTCTCAGTAATAATTTTTGAGAGCAATGTGAGGTTTGAGAGAGATAACATTTTGCATCTAAAAGAGTTTCTGCTTTCATTTTGTTTTCTTAATAATGCTTGTTTTGGTTGATGTAAAATTGTCTCATCTTTAGATGCCTGTGGTGGAGGGAGGGAAATGTTTTGTAGAATTTATATCATTGAAATTACCACCCTATATTTTTCTTCTCAAAGAAAGAATATAGTGATGAACATAAGAATAAAAAATAATAATTACATATGGATGCATAATAAGAAATAATTATATACGCATTGTTTGAAGTTTTCTTTCTCTGACATACCCAACCCTTCCCCCTTTGTTCTGTCACCATTTATTTTGTCCTTGATTTCTTGAAAAGAAAAATTAACCACAGTTTCCTTTGATATTTAGAGAGCACATTGACAATTTGGTTTTAAAAAGAGCAGCTTAAGTATTTTTGCATAACATTTTCATAAAAATCAAGAATTGAATAAACCTAGAATATGCTGAGATCAATTTTGAGCACAACATAATTGTTTTATTTTTGTATTTTCAAATATTAATGTAAAAAATTCTTACACTTCACTTCAATAAGAGGCTATACTTGCATTTTACATCATAATCTCTATTTCCTGCACATTTAAAGAGAGTGATGTTAAATTGTGCAGCTACTGCAATTTTTATAGGGACATAATAAAAATCATGGGTTTTTCTCTTAAAGATATGACTTTGAAATTCCCTTCCTAGAATATTTATATCATAAATATTTATAAACATTACATCAAAAACATAAAAGAAGATAAAGTATCTCTATAAAGAATATAAAAGCCATCATAAATGAAGCCAACAAAGAAGCCTCAAAGCAGGCATAGAATTTGTACTCATTAGTCACAAAGGGGGGATATCTGTAATATATAAAGGACCTCTTAAAAATCAATAATAAGAAGACCAGTAATCTAGTTGAAAAATGTTCTAAGATGGTTCACAGCAAAGGAAATATAAATCACATACGCATATATGTGTGTGTATGTATTCATATA